AAACTAAGTAACTTATAAACAATTAAAACTTACTTCTCACTGTTCTGGATGCTGAAGTCCAAGATCAAGGTGCTAACAGACTTGGGTGTCTAGTGAGGGTCCGTGTCATTTGTTCATCGATGATGCCTCCTTGCTATGTCCCCACATGGTAGAAGGGGTGAGGAAGTCTGGGGCCTCATTTCTAAGGAGAGAATCCACTGATGAGGGCTCTGCCTTCATAACCTCATCACCACCCAACACCATCATATTGATGATCAGGTTTCAACATATAAATGTGGGGGACACAAACATTCAGACCAAAGGAGGATATGTATATGTATAATAGGATAAATTCTGAAGCATAAAAGAGTCCTAGGCAAGAATGGGCTCAGATTTAAGACAGGAGGACCTGCTGATCTTGGCAGTGGGGCATCCATGATCCCCCTAGTGCTGAGTCTGGGCCTCACTGGCCACCAATCTGTTCTTCCTTTTCCCAGCTCAGAATTGAGACAAAGTCGGTTCAGGACACACAGCCTCTGGCAGGCAGTACAGAGCAAACCTCCAAGTGTCTCCCATCCAGAGGCCTGACTGTGAAGCTCCTGCCAGCTCACCTGTGATAGGGACACCTTTACAGAGGGATGCTGCCAAGGTTCGGCAGAGGCTGCCAGAAGCCCACGTGAGTAGCCATCAGGGCATACCCGTACTAGTGGCCAAGGCCGCTCCAACTCCAGTGAGACTCTTGTTTTCCTTTTATAGATAACTTGCCTAGTCCTCCTGGCAGCAGGTCCAGGTCTCAAGTTCTCTCCATGGCCCCTTCTGCCTGAAATCTGGGGTTGTTTTGAAGGTGTTTTTCTTGCATCCTGTGACACATGTTTATAGTTCATTGAAAAAAAAGTTTGATGACTATCCTTGTGTCTATATCTTTATGTAGTGTTTTAATTATTTCCTTAGGAAAAAAATCCAAGAGCTGGAGATGCTGAGTCAGAAAGTCTGCAGTTTTATAGTCTAAATTATATTGTGTAAATATTTATGACAGGCCTGTGAACTTACGCTAGCTATTTCCCCACATACTGGCCAAAATAGAGTAAAATGTATGAAAACAGCAACATATTTGATTTTTAGACTATTGATCTTGTATACTGTGACTTTTTAAAACTCCTTTATTTTGTAAGTTTTTAGCAGATTTCTTTTTTTTTTACATTTATATATTTATTTATATGTGGTACTGAGGATTGAACCCAGGGCCTCACATGTGCTAGACGAGCACTTTACCACTGAGCTACAACCTCAGCCCATATAGCAGATTTCTTTTTCTTTTTTTTTCAATAGTTGCTCATGACAATACAATGATCTTGACATATCATACATTTGAATCAAATGGGGTATAATTTCTCATTTTTCCAAGTGTACAGGGTTAGGGTTACCAGATTTCTTAACATTGATTTTTACCTAGATCATTCATTCATCTACAAATAGAAATAGTTTTGCTTCTTTCTCTAATTTGGATGCCTCTTACTTCTTGTCCTTGACCAACTTTCCTAGCTAGAACTTCCAGTGTGAGGCACATTAGAGGTGGAGGGAGTGGACCCTCTCATCGTATTCCTTATCTTACATTGAAAGCATCAGTCTTTCACCTTTAAGTATGATATTAACTGTGAACTCTTCCAAGGACACCCTTCCTCAGGTTGAAGAATTTCCTTTCTAAGATAATGGAATGAAACAGACATTATTACTTTATGTATGTATGTGACTATATGACCAATGTGATTCTACAATATGTATAATCAAAAAAATGAGAAATTATATCCCATCTATGTATGATATATCAAAGTATATACGTGCATTCTACTGTCATGTATAACTAATTAAAACAAATAAAAAATTTTTTAAAAAAGAATTTCCTTTCTATTCCTAACTTGTTGATGTTTTCATCATTTAAGGGTATTGGATTTTCTCAAATGCTTTTAATTCATTAAGAGATGATCATGTGATTGTTTTTTATTCTACTGATATAGTGCATTATATTAGTTGATTTGGAGGTGAAATCAATATGGCATTCCTTGATCGAGGTATATAATTCTATTTATATATTGCCAAATATGGTTTATGGTTTACTAATACTGTGCTGAGAATTTATGTCTATCTTTGTGTTAGTCAGCTTTTTGTTGCTGTGACCAAAATGCTTGGCAAGAATAACTTTGGAGGAAATACCAATGGGTGGATAATGACTCCACAAAGAGATTATGGGTGTGACTTATCCATCTATGATGCCATTTCAGGAGAAGATGGGAATAGAGATGGTATTATACCTGAATGGAAAATGGAACAGAGATGGGTTAAAATCAAAGAAAGCTTTTGGACCTCTAGGCTTCCACAGGATGGGCCAATAGAATGGTCAAACTGTGAACATGTGTAATCCTTGGAGAAAGGAGAATAAAGATCCCAAAGATGAGGCTTTCACCTTAGTGGTTTTATGGGGTTGGTTTATCTTCCAGGCTTCAGCACAACAGGTTGCCATTCCATGCCACAGGGGCAGGGCTACTGCCCAAGGCTGCAGAGGGGACTCTGATACTCAGAGCTAAGGAGATGGGACTCCTGTCTAGGGCAGTGAGGGTAATACTGCTGCCCCATTAGTCCCTGAAAGTCAGGATACCCACCTGACATCTCTTGTGTCTCCAGGAGATTGTTGAACCAAAGAGGATTATTCTAGTGCCTGAAAATCTCATGAAATTTGTCCTGCTAGCTTTCAGTCTTTCTTGGGATCCCTTTTTTCTTTTTTTGCAATAAGAATTTCTATTGTGTGCTTTTTCCACCACTGTATTTGGGAACTAGATAATTTTCCTGGTTTCAAGGTTTAGCAGCCGGAGAGGAATTTTGTCTCAGGATGAATCATACCTCAAGTTTTATTCACATTTCATTTAGATGATATTTAAATTAGATATTAAACTTAGAGGCGACGCTACAATGGGTTAAGATTTTTGGGTTGTTGAGATGTGGGTTCTATCACGCGGCCTGCGCAATGGTTTCATTAATGAGGTTCTAGGCATAAAGTTAGTTAGAAGAGATCGAAATAAAAACACAGACTCAGTTACCTTATTTCTATTGCTAGGTCCGAGACGGCTCCCTTCTGGTTCCCTCCTCCAACCGCCCAGCAGGGCAGCAAGGATTACTCCGGGCTAGCAGGAGAGAGAGAGCGAACAGCCTGGAGTAGCCTTTTATTGGGGAACAAGAGATTCAGGGGAGAATTCCATCCAATGAAGGTTGAGGGGGGCTGCACTCCAAGGTCAGGGTCAGTGATTGGGTCCCCGGGGTCAGTGGTCAGGCACACCCCCACACGGATGGGCTCTCTCATCAGGAAAGGGCCGGGAAAAACTTCAACTGAGCCAAAGTGCCTCAGACCCTTAACAGGAGTCACCCAATCACGTGTTAGAATGGCTTCCCACAGTGGGTGAACGTGCGTAAGAAGAACACAAATATTGGGGTTCAGAGGACAGAGTGTTATGAACTCAGTTACATTCTTCCGAACTTCACAAGTTGAAATCCCAAATCCAGTGCTTCAGAATGTGATTGTATTTGGAGACAGGGCCCTCCAAAAAATGAACAAGTTAAAAATCCAATCTGGTGCCCTTATGAGAAGAAATTTAGACACAAGTGAGACACCAGGGATTTTCACACACAAAAGGAAAACCACAGAAGGACAAAGCAAGAAGACAGCTATCTGCAAGCCAAGGAAAGAGACTTTAAAAGAAACCAAAGTTGACAATATCTTATCTTGGACTTTTGGGAAAGTGGGGTTTTTTTAAAAAATATTTATTTAGTTGTAGATGAACACACAGTATATTTATTTATTTTTATGTGGTTCTGAGGATAGAACCCAGTGCCTCACACATGTGAGGCAAGCACTTTACCATTGAGCTACAGCCCCAGGCTCAGTGTTTAGGTTTTTGTATAAATACGATCATATTGTCAGGAAGTAGTGAAAATTTCACTTCTTCTTCTTTTATTTAGAGATGTTTTATTTCTATTACTGTATTGGATGCTTTGTATTTCTTTTTCTTGTCTGTTTGACTTGGTAGGACTTCCCAGTACAATGCTGTATAGAAGTGGTAAGAGTAAGCATCCTATGTGACTCCTGATCTTAAAAGAAAAGTTTTATGTTACATCAAGTAAGCATAAGAAAAAGCAAAATATTTTATTTCATCTTCATTTATCCCTTCAGTAATGCTTTTTCTATTTTATGAGATTAAAAAAATATTTAGGAGGGTGATTCACTAGATAATATTTCTTCTGCTCCCTTCTCTCTCTCTCTTCTCCTTCTGGTGTTCCCATTATGCTCCTTTACATGTTTTGTAATTGTTTCACAGTTCTTGGAAATTCTGATTGTTTTAAATTTTTGATTTTAGTTTTCAGAACTTTCTGGTGGAATATTTTTAAAGTCACTGTTTTTTTTCCTCAGGTGAGTCCAGTCTATTGATAAAGCCCTGATAGAGATGTTTTATTTCTATTACTGTGTTTATTTCTAGTATTTCATTTTGATTCTTAGAATTTCCGTCCTCTGTTTACTTTATCCATTTGTTCTCGTATGTTGTACAGTTTTCCACTAGAATCCTAAGCATATTGTTCATTGTTAATTTATTGTTGATCTGAGAAATCTAACATTTCTGCCATATCTGAGTCAGGTTCTGATGCTTTTAAATTTTGCTTCTTCAGATACTTCTTTCTTGTCTTTTTGCATACATTGAGTGACTTGCAACAGGCTCTGTGCTCTAACTGAAGAGGAGGGTGTACCTCAATTTTTTTCTGAAGGCAGTTCAGGCCCATATCATCGCGCCAACATGGCCGCCCACAGCCCCTAGTGTCACCGTGGGCGCCGCCATATTGGCGTTAAGCCCCTCCTTCATCACACCGGAATGGGAACTAGCAGAATGCCATGTTGGTTAAGGGCAACTTCGGTCCGTGAAGCCTCTGCTGAGCATGCGCACACGCAGGCCACGTCCCTGGAGTCCTGCTAGGGCAGGGGGGCGGGAGGGGGGGAATCAAAGGGAGTGGGTTACGTTTTAATTCCTGCGACTGTGGTCGCCGCCCAAGGCAAAAGAGAGTGCGGGTGAGCGACAGGTGAGTGCAGGGATGGAGCGTCCGTGCTCCGGCTGAAGAAGGGTCTCTGGCATCCGCGATGAGGGGTCGGACTGCGATGGGGATGAGGAGCGGATCGGATAACGGGTCGGGTAGTCTCGGATGCTGGGTGCGAACGAGGGGAGCGGGCTGCGGGGGCCGTGGGGGCGGACCCGAGGGAGGACAGCCGGGCGCTGGCGCGCGGGTCTGGGGTCGTCGACACCGGCGTGTTTAGCTGGGCGTCTCCTTATCAAATCGTCTTTATTTTGCTAGGGATTCGAAAACGGCATTGCCACGGGATTGCGTGTAAGTTTGCAGTTACCTTGTTTTGGGCCCTTTCATTTCCTGTCATTCCCGTGGATGCGTTTATACATCATCTTCTCTTTTCAAAAATCAGGCATCACAAGGGCTTATTTTTTAAAATTTTTTGGTAATGGGGATTGAACTCAGGGGCTCTCAACCACTGAGCCACATCTCAGCCCTATTCTGTTTTTTATTTAGAGACAGGGTCTCACTGATCTGCTTAGGTACTCGCTTTTGCTGAGGCTGGCTTTGCACTTGGGATCCTCCTGCCTCAGCCTCCCGAGCCGCTGGAATTACAGGCATGCCCCTCTGTACCCGACTCCAACTGCCTCTCTATCTGTGAAATGTATAAATTCAATTTGATATTCCGCTTTTATCCTGAGCTATTTAGGAGAGTTTCTTCATCCTTAAGCTATTAAGATGTTTTTATTGCTTATTTTTATTTTATTGTATTTTCAGGAACTGTATACTGTCAAATTTCAACTTCTTAAAACTTATTAAGATTTTCTGTGTATTGGGCAAAATTCTTTTATGTTTATTAAATTTGTCTTGTTGAATTGTTCAAATCTTTCCTGATTCTGGTCTACTTGATTCAAAATATTCAGGAGGGAATAAAAATACAATAAAATCCTCTTACTTTGATAGATCATTTTGTAGTACTGTGTGCTTTTTCCCTAATTTTATTTGTGTTGCATCTGGGGGAGGGGCATTTATACATAAACCTAATGGTTAATGCATTAACTATCATTTTTCATTTATTGGATGCTATTAATATAGAGTTCTTTTTTTCAAATCAGAAAAGCACTTGACCTTGAATTCCATTTTGATATTTACATTGTAGCCACTGCTTTCACTTTTATTGCATTCACATGGTATATCTTTGTTTAGAGCTTTGTTTTATACTTACATTTGCCTATTAGTTTTAGGTGATCTGCTTGTCAATAATAGATTTTATTTTTTTTTAAATCTAGCCTTTAGTCTCTGTGTCTTGGCAAGAGAATTTTACCTCTTCAGTTTAGTGTAGTAATGATTTACTTGATTTTATGCCTTCCAACTTATGGTTACTCTTTTTTCAGGGTTACTCTTTATTTTAACTACTACTTCTTTTTTTTTTGGTACTGGGGATTGAACTCAAGGGCACTCGACCATTGAGCCACATCCCCAACCCTGATTTGTTTTTTATTTAGAGACAGGGTCTCACTGAGTTGCTAAGTACCTTGCTGTTGCTGAGGCTGACTTTGAACTCAGGATCCTCCTGTCTCAGCCTCCCAAGCTGCTGGGATTACAGATGTGCACCACCACACCTGGCTATTTTAATTCTATTCTTATTTTGTGCTTTTTCTTTTCATCTTAATAATCTCGTTGGATTGATGAAATTTCTATTCATTGTATCCACTTACACCCCATGTAACTTCTATTTCTTCCTCAGGTAATTAGGAATGTTTTGTTGTATGATATTATTAATTTTCTCTATAGTTGCCTCCTTATCACATCATTACATTGTCCTTTTTTATAATTACATATCTTGTGTAAAAATTGTTGCTGAATTGTATTTTCCTGTTTGAGATTTCTCCCTCCTGATTTGTTTTATTTTTATTTGTAATATTTCCTTCAGTATTTTCCTCCAGATAAAGATGGAGGTATTCAGCCAATGTTTTCATTTCTGAAAATGTACCTCTCTGGCCTTAACAGAAGACTGTTTTTTTATGTACTATTTCCCAAATCATTTAGCACTCATTACTGAAGATTAGGAGTCTTTTGATTTTCTTTATTCTTTCTATTTAAATAATCTGTTCTTTCATATGTGCTGTATCTTTAGCATTTAGGAGTTTTCCCAGATTTGTTCATTCATTGGGTTCCTGTGTGTGTGTGTGTGTGTGTGTGTAAATGTGTGGGAAAGACTGACTAATGGGCCAAGAGTGGTGGTGCCCCCCTGTAATCACAGCGGCTTGGGAGTCTGAGGTAGGAGGATTGCAAGTTCAAAGCCAGCCTCAGCAACTTAGTGATGCCCTAAGCAATTTAGCAAGACTCTGTTTCAAAATGAAAAATAGAGGGAAAAAAGCAGGGGTAGGTGCTGGGGATGTGGTTCAGTGGGTTTATGGAAGAACGACCGGACAAGGCTCGTCATAGGAGAAGTACCTGTTTATTGAGGAACAGCTTTGCACATTTATAGAGGGAGGGGGCAGTTTAACAGTTGGCACGGGGTGCTTTCTGATTGGTGGGTAAAGATCATGAGAGTTGGGCGGCTGTGGGAGACCAACCTTACACGTGACTGAGTACACTCCCTGGCTGGGTGCTGAGGCGCTCAGTTGCAGAAATGTGGCAGAACTATGTTCACCTGTTCCTTTGTAATATAAACCCTTGCCCTGTTTAGGATAAAATCCTCCATGGAAGTGCCTTTTTGTGTCCCCTTCTCTTACTGTACCCTTGGGTGTGGCCTACCCAGGTGTCAGTCAACCTGCTGACAGTGGACATCATGAAGATAGACTCAGCCCCCTGAAACCTGACCCCTTGCCTCATTTGAATAGCTTCTCCTCAATCAAAGGGGTCAGCGCCTGCTCTCGCTCTCTTAAAAGGGACAGGTGAGCATAGCTTCACCCATGGGGCTGTAGCAAGACACACCCATGCACGAGACACCGAGCCTCGGACCCAAGAAGGGTGGGCAGAGCTCTGCCACATTTCTGCAACTGAGCGCCTCAGCACCCAGCCGGGGAATGTAACCAGTCACGTGTAAAGTAGGTCTCTCTCCCACAATCATCCATAGTCAAATTCCCCTTATCATCTAAAAAGTGACTTTTTAAACTTTTTACCGTGAGAATTTCAAAGATACAAAAGTGAAGTGAGTTGTAGAGTAAACCCATCTGTACCCTTCAACCAGCTTCCATGATCACCAGCTCATACCTGACCATGTCAGCTGCACCCTCCCTTCCCTCATGTTTTTCTTTCTCTGCGGGATTATTTTGAATCAAATCTCAGCATTGTGTCCTCTCATCTACACATATTTTGGTGTGTAAATTTAAAGATAACTGCTTTAAAAAAGAGTACTGTTATAACATTTTTTTAAAAAAAAACTCACAGTGTGTTTTAAAGTATCGCTTTATGTGTGTTGGTGGTAGTGTTAAAGAAAAGTTATAGACACATTAAATTTAGCAGAGCTTATTTGGGCAAGGAATGATTCATGAATCAGGCAGCACTCAGAACCAGAAGGAATTCAGAAAGCTCTGCCCAGCAGTGGGAGATCTGAGCTTTTATTGGCTGGTAGGACACGGAACCAAAGTTGAGCCATCACCTGACTGGTTACAGCTAGATGTCTGTCTTATTTGGTATGATGTGATATGTTGGCTGCTTGTGATTGAAACTTGGCAGTTATACTCTTTTTTTTCCCCCTCCCAGTACTGGGGATTGAATCCAGGGCACTCTACCACTGGGTTACATTCCCAGTCCCCGTTTTTCTTTGGGGATAGAACCCAGGGCCTTGTGCTTGCGAGGTAAGCACTCTACCAACTGAGTGCTGTATATCCCCAGCCCCTGTCCCCAGTCCTTTTTATTTTTTATTTTGAGACAGTTTTGTTAAGTTGCCCAGGCTGGCCTTGAACCTGTGATCCTCCAGCCTCTGCCCTCCCAGTCGCTGGGATTACAGGTGTGCCCCCTGCCTGTCTCTTACACTCTTAAGTTAGGCTTTGGTTTGTTTGCACACTAAGTTAGGTCGTAGTCTTCTGTGTAGAGACTCCGACCTAACTTCCTTCAGGCCAGCTTCAGGGGGGCAGCTTCAGGCCAAATTTAAGTTTATTTAATAGTAGATTTAGGAGTTTGATTGGATTAGGTTCCCTTTTTGTTACCTTTTTGGCAAAGTGGCTTCCAGTTTGCATTGTGTGTCTCCATCGTGAGACGTGTCTGCTCATCACGTTTTATGACGTGAGCAGCCATTGATGATCATTTCCTAGATCCGCTATTGCATCAGGGGTGCAAAATGGACAGATTCCATTTCTGCCATTGCTTTGAGTTCTTAGCTGGCATAAATATGTAGAGAGGAATTCCTTCATCAGTGTTGAGTTACCCGAAATTTCAGCTGTTTAGGAAAGGCAGCAGAAATGCCTTTTTCTTCCTCTATTTATAGATTTCAAAAATAATAATTTGATACCCAACATTTTCCAAAGATTCCAGAAGTGTTCTATATCTTGATCCGAGTGGTAGATGCACAGGTGTGGGAAATATATATACCTAATATTTATGTAAAAATTAGCAAAGTCAGGGAAAATATTGAGAGAAGGGAGCTAGGGTAAAGGGGACACAGTAGCCAATGGATGGCCTTTTTTTTTTTTTTTTTGGTGATAGTGGGGATAAAACCCAGGGCCCCATACATGCTATAAGAGGTCTACCACTGAGCCACATCCCAGCCCCACTCTTTGGAGCCTGCTCCCAAAGAATCGATAAAAGCGTGTGTTAGGGGATAATTGGGAAATTTTAAAAAATATTTATTTATTTTTTAGTTACAGGTGAACACAATGACTTTATTTTACTTTATGTGGTGCTGAGGATCGAACCCAGTGCCTCACACATGCTAGGCGAGTGCACTACCGCTGAGCCACAACCCAGCAGGGGAAATTTTGAATATGAGCCCATATTAGCATGATATTACAGAATTACCATTACTTTTCTGAGGGCATGATAATGATTTTTAAGATTTTTTTTATGTGATGTGTTTAGACCTGAAATGTCACATCTGCAACTTTCAAATTGTTCAACAAAAGCAAAGTATGGAAATAAAGCACAATTTTACCTCTTCTCTCTTAGGGTTTTTTTTTTTTTTTTGGTGGGGGGGAGGGTAGAGGTTGGGCCTGAAAATTAAATCGACCTTAAACAGATTAATAGAAAAGCATACCAATTTCTTTTAAGTCACATGTGACCTGGGAACCTCATAAAGAAATGAAGACCCAATGAAGGGACAAAACCTCATGCTTTTATGTTAGGTGGACAGAGAGGCAGTGGGGGAAAGGGACTGAATGTTATGGGGAGGCTACAGGAAGAGAGTGATTGCAACAAGGTCTGTACAGAATTCCCTTGGCCACGGCTTCCCATCAACAGCGCTTCTCCTCTCAGTTTCAGTGTGGGCATCTTCCATACGGGGCGTTCATCTTCTATTTTAAAGAAGAAAAGTGGTGAATTTGAGTGCTCTTCTTGCGTCTGCAAATTTTCAGGTGTTCTTAGCTCACAACAATCTTTATATCAAAATAGCATGTTTTGGAATTCGTACTCTGCCATCCTTCACACGCATATTTAAAATATTCATATATGTGTATATGAATATGTGTATGTTTGGAAAGATGAAATAAATTTGGCAAACTGCTAATTATTGAAACAAGGTGGAGGGTATATCCTTGTAATCTAATCATTCAACTTTTCTTTATGTTGGAAAACTCATAAAACAGTTTTGGGGAACAATGGCCACAGTCAGTTGGAGACTTGGCTCAGGTCTTATGGCTCATTAGTAACCTAGAACTTGATCCCCTTACTGTGCTGTAGCCAAAACAAAGTTTCTACTGAAAGCTCTCTTTGAAGAACTATATGTAAGGGAAAGCAGTAAAAAAGTTAAGAAGCTCCCTTTCTGGTATTTCTTGTGGATATTCTCACTTCTTGGGGTAATTAACAGAAGCTCAGGGTAAAATTATCAATTTTAGGAGTCATCTAACACACTGCATGGAAGATGGACAGGTATGGATAGATAGAATCCCAGCCAAGAGAAAATGAAGAGGAGACTCCCAGTTCTAAGTCAAGTTTGGAATATCGCTTTATGTATTTTCACACAGTTTTGAACTTGAACTATAAAATATTTATTCTTTAAAACAGTTATTTTGTTGTTTACTGACAATAAAAAAGTTGTTGAAATCACCTATACATTTACCATCACCCAGATATTATATGTTAACATGTTAGTATATTTGTTTCCATATAATAGCCTATGTACATAAATACATTTGTGCATGCATTTATGTATGAATGTGTGAGTACACATGAGTAAACATAGTACAATGAAAGTAGAATCATACTATTTGGTATGTCTTTTTTAGGGGGGGAAGTTCTGGGGATTGAACTCCAGCACTCGACCACTGAGCCCCATCCCCAGCCCTGTTTTGTATTTTATTTAGAGACAGGGTCTCACTGAGTTGCTTCACACATCACCTTTGCTAAGGCTGGCTTTGAACTCGAAATCCTCCTGCCTCAGCCTCCTGAGCTGCTGGGATTATAGGTGTGTGCCACCATGCCCAGCCTATTTGGTACATTTTTTATATTTACTCAGCATTTTAACATACTATTCTATTGTATTTCAATTTTATGTAACATTATGTCCTATAAGGTGTTTAATTAATCTACAGTTATTGTCAGGGTTTTGTAGCTTTTCTTTGTTATTGGCCATGTTGTTGTGAAATTCCCACCCTTGTGCAATATTGGGTGTTTTTTTTTTTTAATGATGTAATCCTAAAAGTAAATTTTGGGATTGTAGATGCATAAGTGCTAAATGACACATGTATCCATGTGTGACAATGGCATGCTTCCTACTCTCATCTATACCTCTGCCCATCTGTTTTCTCAGATCTCTGCCCCTTCTCTAGAAGAGCCCAAGATGAGCAAGACCCTGGTGAGTTCTTGTCTGTTCATCTATTTATTTGTTTTTTAAAAAAATTTTCCTAGTGAGTTTTAGGAGTCATCTAACACACTGTGTGGAAGATGGACAGGTATGGATAGATAGAACCCAAGCCAAGAGAAAATGAAGAGGAGACTATCAGTTCTAAGTCAAGTTTGGAATATCGCTTTATGCATTCTCACAGTTATGAACTTGAGCTACAAAATTGTTTCTGATCTTCCTGACGTAAAGATAATGGAAATGGATGCATGGTTTGTATTATTGACAGGTGATTTGTCAGTAATATCAGTTTCCTCTCTCTGGATGTTTGTGAAAGTTTTTGATGGATTTTCAGGTGGGTGGTGGCTGAGCGGTGTCTCAGTGGTGACCCTGTTCACAGGGCCCTGGCAGGTTTTCCCTGTTGGTTGAGCAGTGCTTCCCATGCTTGACTTGCACATTAATTCAGGTTCTGGTTCTCGGATGGAATACAGTTTGCATTACTCACAGTCCCAAAGAATGTCAGGGCTTCCTTTCCAAGGACCACCCTTTGAAGCAGACTTAAGTTTTTTCATGAATAGGTGTTGGATTATGCAAATGCTTTTTCTGCATCAGTTGACATGATCATGTGAGTTCACGTCTTTAAACTGTTGATATGGTAGACTACTTTGATCAGTTTTGTAATATTGAACCAACCTATCATTTTTGGAATAAATCCTATTTTGTCATGATATATATTTCTTTTTATATGTTGTATTTAATCAGTATTTTGTTAAAGATCTTTGCATCATGTGTATGAGAGAGATTGCTCTTACTTCTCTCTGCCTTTCTCTCCCCCACTCCCTCTACCAGTTTTGGTTTTGATATTAGAGTAATAATGGCCTCCGAAATGAATTGGAATGTGTTCCTTTATATTAATTACTCTGCCAGAGATTGTGTATAATTTGTGTTTACTTTTTCTCTACTGTGTGTCCAGTTTTTATATTAGGTGATACATCATAGACTTAATCAGAAAATAATTCCCTTCTTTTCTGTTTTCTGCAACACATTGTGTGGAATTCATGTTCATCCTCTAAGTATTTGGTAGAATTCTCCAGAGAAATCATCTAGGCCTACAGATTTCTTTTATGGGAATTTTAAAATCGCAAACTCAATTTCATTGTTATTTGTTTATTATTGAGGTTTGTATTTTTTTAGGCATTGATTTCTTTAATCTAAGTTGTCACATTTCTCTGTGTAAAGTTGTTTGTAGTTGTATTAGTCTACTCTGGCTGCCTTAACATTATTACCACAGATTGGGTGGATCAAAAACCAGAACTTTTGTTTTCTCACAGTTTTGGAGGTTGGAAGTGGGAGTTCAGGGTGTCAGCGCGGTCAAGTTCTGGGGAGGGTACTCTTAATTCGAAAATGGCTGGCTTCTGACAGTGCACACATGGCCTTCATCAGTGCATGCTCACCTGTAGGGAGAAAGAGAACTCTTCTTTAAAGCCATCAGGTTGATTTTTACTTTTTTTGTTTGGTTGTTGGATTTTACTTTTTTTTTTTTTCATAGACAAGAATAAACTTACTGAGCCCAGCTTGCCCTTCACATCAGTACCTCCTCATCTTTGCCACTGCCAGAATTTTCACCACTTGGATCTCTGGCATCAGCCCATCCTGGGATGGTGACAGTTGTTTCAGGGGGCATAGAGCTAGAAGTAGCACTGTCATCTTAGCTGGGGTCGAAGAGGTAGATAAGAGTGTTGGCCAAGAAGAAAAGGAAACTGCCATCAACCATGTTGCTGAGAGCTGGGGCCCCACTTTTGTTGGGTTTGGGGGTGTATCTGATGGTGGTTATGTGTCCCAAGACTCCAGTTTATATCTGAGTTAAAACTAGGAGGCTGAAGTTGAGTGGGAGGAAGAGGAAGCCCTTCATCCTGGCAGAGTCTTGCTGGGCTCTCCTGGTGACATCTGTGCTCTCTGGTGACATCAGGGCTCTCTGCCTAATATCACCTGTCTTCCCAGAGCAGGATCCCACCCCACCTGTGTGACCTCATCTAATCTTAATTACCTCTTAAAAGCCCTGTCTCCAAGTCATGCTAGCTTAGGCTGTCAACATGAAATTTTGGAGGACAAGCTCAGTTCATAGCAGTAATATTTCCTTTATAAATACCAATAAATGATCTTTTCATAGAATCTTCAAAAAATTTATTGATTTTCATTATATTTTTATCTTTTCAATCTTATTGATTCCTGCTTTTATCTGTATTATCTACCACCCCTCAACCCCAGTTTGCTTTGGATTTTGATATTTTTCTCTAGTTTCTTTAGGTGGCATCTCAGTATTGATATGAGAAGTTTCTCGTGTAAGCCTTGTCGCTATGGATTTTCTTCTCACCACTGCTTTAACTGTATCCCAAAAATTTGAATACTTTAAATTTTTATTCACTTCAGTGTAATTTTTGTATTTGCCTAAGACTTCCTTTTTGACTCATGCATTATTTAAATATGTGTTGTTTAGTTTCCAAATGTTTGGAGATTTTCCTGTGTTCTTTCTGCTACTGATTTCTAGTTTGAATTCACTGTGTTCAGAGAATATACTCTGTATGACTGCATTCACTAAGATTTGTTTAGTTATTCTGAAAAATGTTGAGAGAGGGGTGAAGTCTTCAACTGCAACTACGGATTAGCCTCTTTCTCCTTTTAGTACCACCAGTTGTTGTTCCCTGAGTTTTGCAGCTTTATTGTTTGGTGCATACATATTTAAGATTGTTTTGTCTTCTTACTGAATTGAACCATTTATAACTATATTATGGTCTGAATGTTTGTGTCCTGCAAGCACTCATAGGTTGGAACCCTAACCCCCAATATAATAATAATCTCAGGATGTACAGCCTTTGTGAGGTAATTAGATTTAGATAAGGTTATGAGGGTAGAACCCGATGTGGAATCAGTACCCTTGTAAGAAGAGAAAGAGACCAGAGCTCATTTTCCCTTTGCCATAAGAATATACAACAAGAAGGAGGGCATCTGCAAACCAGGAAGTGGGCTCTACCCAGTCACAGAATCTTTGAGCGCTTTAATCTTGGACTTTTAGCTTCCAGAACTATGAGAGATAAATATTTGTTATTTAATCCTTCCAGTCTGTAGTATTTTGTTATAGCAGCCTGAGCTAATTAACTATGTAACATCCCTGATAATTTTCTTTCCTCTACAGTCTATTTTATTTAATATGGATATAGCCATTTCTGCTTTCATTTAATATTTGTATGTTATATATTTGTATTAGTGCCCTAGGGCCATCATAACAAACTTCATAAACAAGGTGGCTTAAAACAATAGGGATTTATTCTTTTACAGTTCTGAAGGCTGGAAGTCCAAAATCAAGGTATTGGTAGGGCTATGCTCTCTCTTCTTCTTCTAGTGGTTGCTGGAAATCCTTGTGTTCTTGGTGTTCTCCTACTTTTTCTATTGTCACATGGCCATCTTTCCTCTCTCTGTGTGGCATTCTTCCCTCTACAGAACGTAAACAGTTCCTATTTTATTTTCACTGGATATTGAGTTCTACATCAACAATTCTTTCCCTTTAGCAACTGGAAACTATTGTGCCACTTCCTTTTGATTCTGTAGTCTATGAGAAACCCTCTTTCATTCAAACTGCTATTTCCCTACAGATAACATAAATTACCCTCTGGCTGCTCTCAGATTCTTTTCTTGAATATGATTTTCAAACATTTCATTGTAATGTGTCTGGGCATGGATTTATTTGATCCTTTCCTGTTTGAGACTTGCTCAGCTTCTGGAATCTGTAGATTTATACCTTTTTTTTTAAATCTGGAAAGTTTTCAACTATTATTTCTTCAAATATTTTTTGCATTTCCCCATGCCATTCCTTTTCCTTCCTTCTAGGACTCTGATGAAATGAGTGTTCGATCTGCTATATTATTGTATGGGTCCCTTAGGCTATGTTTGATTTTTCCATATATTTTATTTCTTTTGTTCAGATTAGTTAACTTCTATTGATCTGTCTTCAGGACAGTTGATTCTTTCCTTTGTATGTTCATTCTGCTGTTGAAATCATTCAAGTCTTAAATTTTTCTTTTCTTTCTGGGTGTGTGTGTGTGTATTGCTAAGGATCAGTCAACCCAGGGCTTCACTCCTCACATGTGCTATCTAAGCACTGAGCTACACTTCTCAGCCTCTGGTTCTTTTTAGTATCTTCTATTTCTTTGCTGAGAGTTTCTATATTTCCATTTGTTTCAAGAGTATTTGCAACTGCTTGTTGGAGTATTTTTGTGTTAGCTTCTTTAAATCCTTGCCAAATAATCCCAACAGCTCATTCATCTCAGTGTTAGCATCTGTTTTTTTTTTTTTTTAAATATTTATTTATTTATTTTTTAGTTTTCGGCGGACACAACATCTTTGTTGGTATGTGGTGCTGAGGATCGAACCCGGGCCGCACGCATGCCAGGCCAGCGCGCTACCGCTTGAGCCACATCCCCAGCCCAGTGTTAGCATCTGTTGATAGTCATTTCTCATTTGATCTGAGATTTTTTTGGTTTTGATATATAAATAATTTTGAATTTATTCAGGACATTCTGATTATTATTTATGAGACATGGTTTTGTCTTTAAATTTTCTGTTTTAGCAGGTAGTCAGCCTGTTTAGGTTCAGAGGGTATGTCCTGGTCTGTTTCCATGGCTATAGTTCTGATGCCAATTTAGTTTTCAAAGTCCTTGCTCTTATCAGGTCTGTCTGTCTTTTGTGCTATTCAGAGGCCAACTTAAGATCTGGGCAGTATCTTACACCCTGTCTGGACTTGGATTTATTTGATCCCTTCCTGTTTGAGACTTGCTCAGCTTCTGGAATCTGTAGATTTATACCTTTTTTTTTTAAAAAAAAATCTGGAAAGTTTTCAAATATTATTTCTTCAAATATTTTTGCACTTCCCCATCCCATTCCTTTTCTTCCTTCTAGGACTCTGATGAAATGAGAGTTTAGCTCATGACTTCTTCAGTGATTATTCTAATTTGTTTCATACATGGGCTGCACATATTGAGTTGTGCAACCATCTTTAGAATCAACTTTTCTTTACTCACCCCAAAAATCTCATAGTTTTAGCTGTCACCCTCATATTCCTCCATTTCCCCTAGCTGAAGTCAACCACTAGTCTACTCACTGTCTCAACAGATTTGCTTATTCTGGAATTTCATATAAATGAAATCATATAACATATATAACATATCATTTTTTTGTGACTGGCTTTTTTTATTTAACACAATATTTTCACGATTCATCCACATTGTAGCATGTATCAATACTTTAATATGTTTTATGACAATGTTTTTTTTTAAATTTTTTTTTAGATTGAACCTTTATTTTATTGATTTATTTATCTGTGGTGCTGAGAATTGAACCCACTGCCTTATACGTTAGGCAAGCACTCTGCCAGTGAGCCACAACCCCAGCCCATGACTGAATGTTTTTATATTATATGGATAGGCCACATGTTTGTTATCTCTTTGTTGTTTGGAAGACATTTGTGTTGTTTCCACTTTTGGCTATTATGAACATTCATATGCAAGCTTTGTATAGATAAATGTTCTCATTTCTCTTGGGTGTGTACCTACAAATAGAATTTCTGGGTTGTATTGTAATTCTGTGTTTAATATTTTGAAGAATTGTCAGATTGCATTATAGACCACACCAGTTTTTACTCCCACTTGCACTGTAGGAGGGATCCAGCTTCTCTTACTTACCAACACTTGTCATTATCTTTTTTTATTATACACACTCTAGTGACTGCACTTCTCTAATAACTAGTGATATTGAACTATTTTCATTACAGTTTTCTTAGTGAATTCACAGGGATGTCTCTTTGTAATTTTGATTCTGTTTCCTTGGTGACTCATGATGCCGAAGACCTTTTTCATGTGCTCATTGGCTGTTTGTATGTCTTCATTGGAGAAATGTATCACTGGATCATTTGCCCATTTTTTAATTGGGTTGTCTTTTATTAGGTTGTAAATGTTCTTTGTATATTTTAGATACAAATCCCTATCAAATATATGATTTGAAAAAAAATTCCCCCGGTCTATGAGTCTTTTGCTCACATGACTGTGTCACTTGACACACAAGTTTTAATTTTATCTGTTTTTTCCTTTGGGTGCTTGTGCTTTGAGGGTCTCATATTAAGAAACCATTGCCACATTCAATGTCATAAAGATTTACCCCTTTTAGCTAAAATTTAAGGTTTTTTTTTTCTAAATGTAAAAACATTTAGATTTTCGATCCATTTTGAGGTAACATTTTACTGTGGTGTGAAGGAGGGTTTAACTTTATAACATGGATCTCCACTTGTCCCAGCACCATTTGTTGAAGAGTCTGTTCTTTCCTTTATAAATTGACCCTTGGCCAGGTACCGTGGTGTGTGCTTCTTAGTCCCAGCTATGTGGGAGGCTGAGGCATGAGGCTTGCTTGAGCCTATGGGTTTGAGACCAGCCTGGGCAACAAACAAGACCATGTCTCAAAAGCAATTTGTTTTGACACTCTTAGCAAATAGTAATTAACAACAATTTGAAGGGTTTACTTATGGACTCTGAGTTGTATTCTAGTGGTCTGTATGTTTACCCCGATGCTAGTACCATGCTATTTTGAAAGAAGAGCCTTATTTTAATTTTCTTTTTTAAAGAAAAAACTGGCTTAGTGGATCATTGAATGCAAAGTGTGTGGCAAAGTATCTTTTCTTCTTTAAGTGAACTATTATTGGAATATGGCATACATAGAGAAGTTTGAAGATTGATGGATTTTCACAGCTTATTTCTATGTAACCGGCATACAGGTTTTTAAAAAAGATATTGGGCTGGGGTTGTGGCTCTATAATAGAGTGCTTGTGTAGCATGCATGAGGCACTGGTTCAATCCTCAACACCACTTAAAAATAAATAAATAAGGTAAAGGTATTGTGTCTATCTACAACTAAAAAAAAAGATTATTATTATTATCAATACTGCAAAAGAACCAGCAGGGTACTTTTAAAAAGATTTCTTTTTTTAGTCAAAACAACAAAATAAAATATAGGTGTTTAGTGGGAACTTATATATTATAACCTAATAAATCAAATTAAAAATAAGGTCCTAAATATCTTGTTCCCATGGTGCAATCTTGACCCTTCGCATTGAATAGGAATTGGTTCTTACAGGGACCAGTGTCTTTCAAGGATGTAACCGTGGAGTTCAGCGGGGAGGAGTGGCAGCACTTGGACCTTGCCCAGAGAAGCCTGTACAGGGATGTGATGCTGGAGAACTATTTCAACCTGATCTCAGTGGGTGAGCACAGCCCTGCGCGTGCAGAGCAGGCTGCACCCAGGGCACTCTTTTTCTTTCCTAGAGGACTTTCTGAAATCTGTGGATTTTCTGAAGTCTCTGCAACTCCCAAAGACTGCAGGGCATCTGAAATATGTAATGGTTCTGTCTTTGTTTTGTCCCGTGTTCTTAAGAATCTCTTTTGGGTACTGTGAATGCACCTCTGTTCCCAGTGGACATTTTTGGGAATCACATGGCGTACTTTATCTTGTGGCCCCTGAAACACATTCTCTATCATTTCCTGTTGACAGGCTGTCCAGTTCCCAAACCAGAAGTCATCTTCAACCTGGAGCAAGCAGAGCCACGCGTGTGGGATGAGGAGGCCTCCGGTCAGCACTGTGCGGGTGAGTGGGAGCCAGAGCATGGACCGTGGTTCAGCCCACCTGCAGTCATGCTGGGAGAGCTTCTGTGACATGCCATTAGTGTGACTTTTCTGCTTACCTTTTGAGTTTTCAGAACTGCTTGATGGAGCTGACGTCATCCCCTTGGAAATGGAAATGCTGTCCCCCTCACGGCCTCTTCCCACACCAGTGCCACGACCTCTGAGGAGGACCTGTGCTGGTTGGCAGTGCCTGGGGTGGGATCTCACCCGGCGTCATCTGGGATCATGCCCTCTTGCCCTTTGTTCTCTCTCCATAGAGAACTTCTGCTCCTTCTACCTCCAGCCAGGGCTTAGTTCCTTTCTTAGGCATTTAAACTCCCATAGATCTGCCTTCTTTTAAAAAGTCACCATGGGCCACACTCCTGTTCCCTGGTGTCTTTTCCTTTATGTCTCAGCATTGTCACCTGGATGGCTTATTGGATAACCTGTGCTCTTCACTGCTGACCTCGAGGGCATCCTGGTCACTTTCTTCCTGCCTGGCTAGTGCAACACAACACTGACTCCATCTTTCTAATTTGGATATTTTACCAGAAGCTTTTGTACCGCATGTTCAGGAGATTGGGTTAATTATAACCTTAGTTTGTGGTCAGTGCCCTCATCAGTGTGTTCAAGGCCCCTCTTACTTATTCCTTTTACTCCCCGTTCTCCATACTCATTGTTCCTTCCCAGGGGCAACTGCTTTAATATGTGTGCTATCTGTCCTAGAATTTGTGGGGGTTTTGTAAAATCTAAATTGTTGGTATTTTTAGTTTATAGAAATGGTCAGTTTCTTTCCCTGCCCCCTTTCCTTCTGTCTCTGTTTCTTTAAATTGGCACGTTTCGATGTTTTCCAGGTTAATTGCTTCCAACTGCTGCATGGCATGCTTAGTACAGATAAATATACCACATTTTACTTGTCCAGGCTCCTTGCTACTACAAACAGTATTGTAATAAATTTCTTCAAGCACTATTCATATTGGAAATGAGAATTTCTCAGGAGCGGTAGGATTGCTTTGACATTGACTATACTAATACTTAATATGACTTAGTGTAATTGCACTGTTTTCTGGATTGACTCCTACAATTAGTTTCCCCATATCTCTGCCTATATTTAGTATTACATGCATCTCCAGTAATTTGGATTTCAAATTCTAATTATTGTTTTGTGTTTCTTTAATAACAGAATGTGTGGAACATTCAGCTGTATCTTGTCATAGACTCTGTTTTTGATGCTTGACTACTGACATCTTCCAAGCCTTCCCTCTGTCTCTTCCCCATCTGCCCCACATCTGGACAAACTGATAAGCAAGTTCAGGTTTTCCTTCCTTTGGGAACATACAGGGCCAGGCAGCCAGCCCTACCCCCAACCAGCAGAAAACCCCAGGCCACTTTGGACCTGCTTGGAGGTCTCCCCAGAGCCTCTTTGCATGAACAAGCCTTTTCCTACCCACTTAGCGTTTCTGTCCCACCATCACTCTTGACATCTGAACCAGAACTGGGCTGGGCCAGTTCTCCCCTGCAGGTGCCTTAACACTGAGGCAGTAAGCAGGCAGTTCAGACAGTGACCACCACCAAGGGGCCTTTCTCCTTTTCCCAACGGCTCTACTGTCTGCACTTTGCCTCTGCCGTGCACATAACCAACCCGAGGTGGAGGTTGCAGTTGTTATTTAGGAACAGGTATAAAGAGTTAGGCCCTTCCTTAAATTTGCCCTTGGTCATGTGTCTTGGCTTGAACTATTTGTGTGTTTTACATTGAATCATGTGTCCGGGTTCCAGCTGGGACTGATGCTCGGCGCACAGGAATGACTGTTACTCTGTGACCACTGTGTGTCTTAGCCAGGCCTTGGCCCCATTTATGCAGTGCCCAGGAATACAGATGCCTTTTGTGTACGAGGGTGGGTCCCTCCGTGGCTGCCTGAAGAAAGGCAGACAAGTCCCGGGGCAGCAGACCTCAAGCAAGTGGCTGACCTCAAAATCTTCCCCTATTTTACGTGGGTTTTTGCTTTTCCCTCTGATCTACCTTCTCAAACAATTCCTTTTGCTTTTCTGCTAATTTTTCTCTTAGAAAAGATCATTTAGATGCCCTCTTCTTACTTCCTACTGGTATCACCTAAAGCCATACTTATGTTTTCTCATACCTGGATTATTCTAACTTATTTGAATATGTTGATTTCATTTTTTTTCCTACTTCACTTTAGATGTGACTGACAGATTTATTACTTAAATCACTATACATTTTGTTTATCTTGTCCTAGTTATATGGAGCAAAACTGAAGTCACTCATTATTATCTAAATTATGACACATTCTTTTCTTAGTGGGTTTGTAAGTGAAAGAAATAACATGGCCTCATTTCGTAATGCACATTTGTCTCTGTGTAGTTTCTAAAACCAAGTCTGTTCCATTTAAACATTTTCTTTAATGTTCCCCTGCATTGTTTTCTCATTTCTCTGCCTTTTCAAATTATGCACACACTCATATTTTTTGTGCAGATTTCTCTTGCTCCTTGCATAAGATCTCATACAACATACCTACCTGCTTTCTCCCTCCTCTAATTCTCCAGTCCACAGAAATTCAGAGAAAGCTACATTAAATGATATGATAACCAAGCCTTTTGTCTCTATACTTCTAAAAAAAATTGTTTATATAGAAAAAATACTTAGTAAAATTGAATTTAATCTCTAGGCAGAAAAGTTGTTTTGCTCTATTTCAAAAGAATTTTAAATTTTTTCTTCTAGAATCAATTCATAGGGCCAGAGATAGTAATTAGAAAGAGAAGATAATGGGTGGAATCTTTATAAAGTTTCAGCTTTTTTGCAGTATTCAAATGTTAATCTATACATCTAAGTAAATTCAAGTATAAATATGAGTGACTGAGAATATTCATTTGTTCACTTTTAAGTTAAATGAAAACAGAGCCTCCCCAGAGTTGTGGGGAGGTTAGAGATTAGCTCTTAGAGCAGAGGACCCTTCATGGTCTTAGCATGTGCATGGACCTAGTTTTATCCCCAGCATCAAAAAGAAAACAAAACCAAAAAAGTTCTTTTAAGCCACAGGGTTTACATTTTGTTCTTCTGGCGCCTTCCTCGCTTCTACCTTTGCTTGATTTGAATCTCTTCCTTCCCAATTACTAATCATTTGATTTGGGCAGTTAGTAAGCTTTTCTGTGGCTCACTTTCTTTGTCTATAAAATGGGGATAACAATACCAAAGGTATTGTAATAAAACCAAAGGGTTGAAATAAAGTTTATATAGAACTTAGAACAGCACCTCCAAATGCTCTTGCTTATCCTAAGGTAAATGTAATGTCTTAATTTTATTACTGTATGTTATTGTATTTATATTACAGAGAGAGTATTGTACCTATATATCTATATTATCTTTACATATTATGTGTATTTATTATGTTTATAGAGCACGTGTCCCATTTCTCTGTGTTCATCCTGAATTAACTCAAGGTGTCAGTTGTTCTCTGTGTCAGTTTAATCTTTTCTTTCTTTTCAGATGGCGATATTGGTTTTGAGACTTCACAACAGAGACTGTCTGAGGAATTTTCTTTCCAGTGTGAGAGGGTTGATCTCTTCACAGGAGATAACCTCTATTCCCTTTTAGAAAAATTGTGGAAGCAAAGGGAGAGATGTGAAGGAAACCAGACCACGCCTTTACGTCACGTTGTCTTCAGGGACAGGGCAGCACTAGCTGATTCGAGGAGCTGTGGATACCAGGACGCTGGGAAAATTGGGCACATAAACACACATCTGATTCCTTCACGAAAAGGATTCCATCCTGGTGATGCCTTTGGAAAGAATCTGAAGCTCATTGCAAGCTTAAATAATCATAATAGAAACAATGCAACAGAAAATCATGATGAGGTTATCAGCCGTGAGGATGCTGTTACTCACGTGGGTTCTCATACGGAAGGGAGTGCTTGTGGAGGTAAGCGTTGTCGGGAACGTGGGGGTCATAAGCAAGCTCTCACTCCACATCCGAAAAGTCATGCTGTGGAAAATCTCCCTTTGTTTTCTGACTATGTAAAAGTTTTCACTGAGAATTCCCACCTCTTTGCACATCAGAGGATTTATGCTGGAGAAAAACAGCATGAGTGTAGTAAATGTGAGACAGTCTTCACCCAGAAGCCCCCACTTGCTACTGCTTGCAGAGTTTCTGCAGGAGAGGAGCCCTTTAAGTGTATGGTATTTGGGAAGTCAAGTCACCAGAAAACTCGTAATGAGGAAAATTTCTATAAATTCAGGGAATACAGAAGAGCCTTTGTCCAGAAGTCTGATCAGTTTAGACGCCAGAGAGACCATCCTGGAGAAAAACCCTATGAATTCAGTGAATGTGTGAAAAGCTTCTCACAGAATGCAAACCTCAGCATAATTAAAAAAAATCATACTGGAGGGAAACACTTTGAATGTACTGACTGTGGAAAAGCCTTCACAAGGAAATCCACACTAAGTATGCATCAGAAAATTCACACAGGAGAAAAACCCTATGTATGTGCTGAGTGTGGGAAAGCCTTCATCCGGAAATCCCATTTTATCACACATGAAAGAATTCATACTGGAGAGAAGCCCTATGAATGCAGCGACTGTGGAAAATGCTTTATAAAAAAATCACAGCTCCATGTGCATCAGCGAATTCACACAGGAGAAAATCCTTTTATATGTTCACAATGTGGAAAGGTCTTCACTCACAAGACAAATCTCATTATACACCAGAAAATTCATACTGGGGAGAGACCCTACATATGTACTGAATGTGGGAAAGCCTTTACTGACAGGTCCAATCTCATTAAACACCAAAAAATTCACACTGGAGAAAAACCTTATAAATGCAATGACTGTGGAAAATCATTCACCTGGAAGTCACGGCTCAGAATCCATCAGAAATGCCATACTGGCGAGAGACATTACCAGTGTCGTGAGTGTGGGAAAGCCTTCATTCAGAAGTCCACACTAAGTATGCACCAGAGGATTCACAGAGGAGAAAAGCCCTATGTGTGCAACGAGTGTGGGAAGGCCTTCTTCCACAAATCCCATTTTATCACACACGAAAGAATCCACACTGGAGAGAAACCCTATGAATGCAGCGATTGTGGGAAATCCTTCACCAAGAAATCACAGCTCCACGTGCATCAGCAGATTCACACAGGAGAGAAGCCCTACAGGTGTGCTGAATGTGGAAAGGCCTTCACTGACAGGTCCAATCTCTTCACACACCAGAAAATTCACACTGGAGAGAAACCCTATAAATGTAATGACTGTGGAAAAGCCTTCACTCGAAAGTCAGGCCTCCACATACATCAGCAGTCCCACACTGGAGAAAGACATTACGAGTGCAGCGAATGTGGGAAAGCCTTTGCCAGAAAGTCAACACTAATTATGCATCAGAGAATTCACACCGGAGAGAAACCTTATGTTTGTACTGAATGTGGGAAGTCCTTCATCCAGAAGTCACACTTAAATAGACACAGGAGAATTCACACAGGAGAGAAGCCCTATGGGTGCAGCGACTGTGGGAAGTCTTTCATTAAGAAGTCACAACTCCATGAGCATCATCGAACCCATACAGGAGAAAAACCGTATGTATGTGCTGAATGTGGAAAGGCCTTCACCATCAGATCAAATCTTCTTAAACACCAGAAAATTCATAGTAAACAGAAGCCCTATAAACGCAGTGACTTTGGGAAGGCCTTTCACTGGAAGGTGCAGCTCACAAGTCAACACAGTGTACCTCAGAAGTCTGACGCTGGGGAGGTGGAGTGCCCAGTGCCGCAATCATGGTGTGGGGGTACGAATAAACAAGAGGCCACAGCTTGACCAAGAAGCAGGAGGTGACCAAGACCCACCCACTGCCTCTGTCTAGTCAGAATTATGGGTATCTGCTTCACATAGTGGATGTCCACGACACGTCCAGGAAGATACTTTGGAGGAAGTGTTTACACAATGCACTGTGGCCAGGCTTGGTTACTGGCAGATTGTCAGGCCCCTGCAAATCCCAGTGAAGATGAAGCCAGAGGCATGGTGCATGCCTCTAATCCCAGCTACTTGGGAGGCTGAAGACGAAGGATCAGGTGGGAGGATCACTTGAGCCCAGGAGTTTGGGTCCAGCCTGGGCAATATAGCTAGACTCTGTGTCCACAAAAACAAAGGGAAAAAAAAAGAAAAGGTGGCTTACAATCTTTCTCATTTCACTTTTTTTGATAAGCAGCTGTCTAAACTCAGAGCTGTTGAATTTCTCTTGCCCTGGGTAGCAAAACTTTAATATTGTCCAAAAAAATATTTCATAAGGAGTAGAGTGGTGAGAAAATTTTTCACTGTCTTAGTCCTCAAAGGACACCAAAATCAGGATGGAAATTAACCAATTCAGGTCTGCAATGAAAAGAAATTAGAAGCTTTTGTGAAAATTGATACTAAAGATACAAAGAAAGGACTCAACTCTCACCCCCCTTTTGGAAATCACTACTAGTTGTCGTTTATAGCAGTTATTGCGTGTGCCTTGTTAGCAGCTTCCAGGAGGCCTAAAACGGGCTCCCAGTCTGTATCTCTGAAGCAGTCAGTGATGCAAGCAGCAGTCCTGTGACTGTTGCACAGCTGGGGCCAGGGTCCTGGAGCAGCACAGGGACCCAGACTTAGATAACAGCACTTTGGAGCCTCAACTTTGTTCATAGAAAACTGCACTTTCTTACTGATTCCTGTTTGAAAAAGAGACAAATTAAGAAAAAAATCTGTTTCAAAACCTAGAATACTTTCTCTCCGATTTTGATAGTGTATTCTCTACATATTCATTATGTACTAGGTAACCATGAGACATAATTGTAGTTTGTTATTTTAGGAGATAAAATATAGTTAAACATTTGGAAAAGTACTCCTATTCTTTCTCATTCTCTACAAATTAATCTTATTTTATCACAATAAAAGAAGTGCATCATGATCTTCCAGAATAATTATGAATTTGTCTCTCTTTTAGAGTGACTGATTTTTACTTTATATTTTAAGTGTTTTATATGCATTGAAATTTAGAATTGTTATGGTTTTCTTAGTTAATTGAAACTTTAACATTAAGTAATGTCCCTTTTTTATCTCTAATGATGCTTTTTGATTTAAAGTGTCCTATGCCAGATATTAATACAATGTAGTAACTCCTGTATTAAAGGCCAGGGTAAATGAGTGCCGCTACCACTCCTCAAGGTGAGGAGTTAGAACATGACCTCCAGGTGTTCCTTTCTTCACCTACATGTCCCCACGTGGTGCATCTGAAGTCTGCATGTAGTTGCCGTAGTCAATCATTCTTGTTTCAGAACCCATATGCATTTAAGTTAACCCACATGTTTACCCTTTTCATTACTTTTTTCTTTTTATTCTTTTATTCTCCCCCGGAGTTAGTTTTTTTTCTTGTTTCTGAACACTCTTTAGTGTTTCTTTTAGTGTGAATTTGCAGATAACAAATTCTGTTTTTATTTGTTGCAAATATCATTATTTTGGCGTTTTAAAAAAATTGCTTTGGTGCTGAGGATTGAATCTAGGGCCTTGTGGATGCTAAGCACTGGGCCGTATGCCCGGCCCTTGCCTTTATTTCTGAAGGATTTTTAGAGGGTATGGACTTCTAAGTTGGCACTTGCTGTCAATTCATATTTTGGAATACTTAATTATGTTCTATCTTCCATTGAACAGTAAGTGGTCAATTTAATTACTTTCGAAGTACCTGGTCCTTTTTTCTCTGTTTCCTTTAAATTTTATCTTTTATTTTTAACAGTTGTACGTTATCTCTAGATGTGATCTCCTTTATATTTATCCTGCTTGGTTTTTGCAGTGATTTTTAAAATATGTGGGTAAATGGGGTGTGTGTGTGCGTGTGCTCATGTGTGCATGCAAGTATGTGCATGCATACATATGTGCACTTTGGGAATTACTAGCTGTTATCTGTTCAAATTATGCATCTGCTTCATTTCTTTGCTTCTTCTAGGGGTAGCCCCATTATCTAAATCCCCTATTGACCTATTTTTGTTAGTTGTTTTTCTTAGGTTTTGGTGATGTCTTGTCTTCTCATATATCTGGTGAGTTTATTTTTATTTTTTTGGGTTCTGGGAATTGAACTCCCAGGGGCACTTAACCACTAAGCCACATCCCCAGCCCTTTTTGTTTTGAGACAGGGTCTCATTAAGTTGATTAGGGCCTCACTAAGTTGCTGACCCTGACCTCAAACTTGTGATCCTCCTGCCTCAGCCTCCTGAGTCACTGGGATTACATGTGTGTGCCATCAAGCCTGGCTATCTGGGGATTTTTAAAATCAGTTGTCAGACTCTGTATATTAAAATTATAGAGATAAGATGGTCTGGGTGATATCTTCTTCCAGAAGGAATCTGTCTTTTGCTTCTAGCAGGGTGACTGAGCTAGGGATATTAGCAATTGCTACCTGCCTTCATACAATCATGTGTTGAGATCATTTAAAACTGGCCTTACTCTCTCTAACAGGTTGTGTTTTTTTTTTTCTCCCTTATTTCTAGGATATACTTTTAGGACCTAAAACTGTGGGAAATTTATTAGTACCTTCTTCCTTGGAAGGATCTGAATTCAAGTATTTGTCTTTGTTTCCATGAATTTGTCAAAAGTCTCTCCAGCTTCTCTTGCCCAGTATTTACTAAAAGAATTGGCTAAAACCTTTCCATAATAAACAATCCCAAATTCCAGATAGTATGTCTTATCTCTAATTTTATTTTTGCAATTTCTCACTGTTTTGTAGCTCTACTATGCCTTCAGAAATTAAATATGTTTAATATTTTCTTCCATGTATTTTTAGTTCTCAAAAGGAAGTAGTGAGCTGGGCTCTACGACACACACCCATAAGGAGTTAAGCAGGAGGATCATGAGTTCAAAGCCAGCCTCAGCAATGGTGGAGCGCTAAGCAACTCAGTGAGACCCTGTCTCTAAATAAAATACAAAATAGGGCTGGGGATATGGCTCAGTGGTCAAGTGCCCTTGAGTTCAATCCCTGGTACCAAAAAAAAGGGTGGGGGGGGGAGAACAGTGGTATGTACCACTTACTCTGCCATTGGCAGGAAATTTCAGTTGGCTGCTTCTATGTAAGGAGTTTGGAGTCAGTAAATAAATAAATAAATAAATAAATAATCAATCCTTTTTCTAAGAGGGATTGAAACCAGGGGCACTTTTCCACTGAGTTACATCTGGACCCTTTTTTTAATTTCTTGAGACAGGGTCTCTTAGCTATCATGCCTGGCTAAATATATTTTTAAATTACTAAAATTACTTACTTAAAAATGAAAATATTCTAGTTTATAATATTCCTTTTTTCTTGTTAAGGACTTTTTAAAGTTGTGACATAGAATATTACCTGTGGTGGTATCAGTTTTATTATGATAGCTTCCAAACTTCAACAGTAGGAGAAGATTAACTGAAACTTCTCAGATGTCTTCTTTTTAAAATATTTTTAGTTGTAGTTGGTCACAATACCTTTATTTTTATTTGTTTTTATTTTTCTGTGGTGCTGAGCTCACCTCTCAGGTGCTAGGGGAGCGCTCTACCGCTGAGCCACTGCTTCTTTAATACTATGATTTTCCTTTGCATCATTATTTGAAAATGAGGTTAATGAAGATTGGCTCTAGAGCCCTGGGATTTTAAAATAAGAATTTCAAGAATTAATTTAATAGGATTACTGAGATTGTGATTCTCAACCTTTTTTATGCTCAGGCATAGTTTAAAACATAAAATTCTACACCCCCAACTTGGGGAGTGGGCAGGACAAAAAAAAAAAAAAAAAGCTACTTTGCCTTTTGTCAACTGAGTATTAGTCTCCAGGAGAAAGGAAGGCTTCCTTTTGTGGGTCTCCTTACATCCTGTGGAGCGAATGATGGAAACCCGTGAGTGGACAGGACAGCTGGCTCGGAAGTAGAACTGAGATGAGTGCAGACTGCAAGCACGCAGGGCTGGCCTCCCCTGGGGGTCCTGGGGTGACCAGGCCTCTTCACACCAGCATGCATTGGAGCTCGTCTGTGGTGACAGCAAAACTATTTTTAAAAGTTTTACAATTTATAAAGTTTTTAATAAACATGCATTTTAATGTTTCATAGAGGAACCTCATACTGTGAATTCAGTAAGTATAGGAGATGTGCACTCCAGCCAACACTTAATTATAAATCAGATAGTTCATAGGGGAGAGTGGCTGTCTGTCTGTACTGACTGTGAATAGGGTTGCATTCACAAGTCCCCCTTCCTTACATATCAGAGTAGTCATGCCGGAGAGCAGCTTGGGGAATAGACAACAGTCGGAAATCTTCCAGGGGAATTCCTACAGAATTCCTACAGGGAATTCCTACAGAAGCAAAGTCTTCCTGTAGAAGCAAAAAACATGAGAAATAGAATTCATGTTTACTAATTTAAGTCAGATTATAAAGCATTCTGTATAATTTGTGTACCTTTTATGTCTTTTGAAAAAAAAATGATTGTTTTCTTGGACATGAATGGACACTTTGACAGTGTCAGACACTGTTTGCTAAACCAACATGCAATTTTAGTGCTCCTATCTCTACTGACTTCTTTATCATCTTTTGAGGCTGGGATTAGCTGAGTGACTTGCCTCAAGCCAAGAGAAGCAAAACACTAGTGGGTGTGTCCTGGGAAAACCTTTGCTTTCCCAAGAAAAGGGACAAATGTAACTGCTGCCATCAGTTCTACTGTTCTTCCTGATGGTTAGTTACATGATTCCTGCTGCATGGGCTACCTTCTTTCAACCACTGGTAAAGACCAAAAGAATCACAGAGACACTGGGTCATGTATTATCTGTTTAATATTTATTTTTCAGTTTTTTGGCAGAAACAACATCTTTGTATGTGGTGCTGAGAATCGAACCCGGGCCACACACATGCCAGGCCAGCGCACTACCGCTTGAGCCACATCCCCAGCCCAATATTATCTGTTTAACACTAGCAGCAACTGACTGCCAGTCCAGACTTTAATTATGTTATAAAAATAAATATATTTTGGACTGGGGATGTGGCCTAAGTGGTAACGTGCTTGCCTGGCATGTGCAGGGTGCTGGGTTCGATCCTCAGCACCACATAAAATAAAAGATGTTGTGTCCACCAAAAACTGAAAAATAAATATTAAAAAATATTCTCTCTCTCTTCCCCTCCCTCCCTCCCCCTCTCTCTCTTTAAAAAATAAATAAATATATTTTGCATAAACCATTGTATTTTAGGTTTATCTTACACTCAAAGTATACCTCAATTTTTTCAGACATCAAATGTATAAAATAGTTCATTTTCTACTATATATTATAAAATATTTTTAAATTGTGTATTTAAACTAGATTCTCCACACAATCTTGAATAAGATAAACTGCAAAATTATTGATGACCCTTAATGAGTAAAAGGAATCAGATCTTGAAAAAACAGGATCAGAAGAGAATACTACCTAGAATAAATGAAGTTTTCTAGCAAGACATAATTTATTAAAGTTGAATAAATGAAAAACTGAAAAAAATCAATAAAATAACTTCAGAATATTTCAGAAGTACCATTTAAACTGTACCAGGTATGTAGGAAGAGATTTCTTAGGACACACAAGGAATGAATTATAAAAGGATAAGTTGAACTTTTCAAATATAAAAACTCTTGCCCTTTTAAACACCATTAGGAAAATGAAAAGGAGAGGCACAGAATGGGAAGAAATATTTGCAATAGGTATCTGACAAGAGATTTGTCTCCTGCAAATAATAAAAACTTAAACCCATTATACAACAGCCCAATAAAAATAGCAATATACCTGAACAGAAATAATTCACAAAATAAGTTATAAAATGGCCAAGAAAGAATTTCAACATCAGCCATAGGAGAAACACAAATTATTACCACGGTGAGACACCTTTCCACACCTATTAAAATGATTGGCACTGCCAAACACTGGAAAGTGTTGAGAACATGGCAGTCG